AACCCGGCCCTACACCGCCCGGACGGCTCAAACGACTGCCGAGCCCCCCAGCCCTGGAGCCCTGAGTGGGCGGCCTTCGGCGGGACGCGTCCCGCGGCTGGGGTTCTGGCCGTCGCCCGCGTCTCCAGGGCTGCGGGGCTCGGCAGTCGTTTGAGCCGTCCGGGCGGTGTAGGGCCGGGTTTCGGGCGCTGCTGCCCCAGGCCTACGGCCCAGCTGGGTGCGAGCAGGGCACTCGGGGCTCGGCTAGGGCGGCCCGGGAGCTGCTCTCTGGCTCCCGCCGGCCCTATGACCGCCTCCCGGAGCTGCTCGGGAACTCCGGAGTTTCCGAGAGGGAGCCCGGTGGCTCCCTCCTCTTGTAGGCCAACTTGGAAACACTTCTGGGGTTATTTAAAGTGCCGGTCGCACCGACTCCATGCTTTCTGGCTTTCCATCTTCCGCCCTATCTTCTGGCTTGTTTCTTGACTTCCTAGCACTTTCCTTAAGAAAGGAGGAGGGGTAGAAACCAGTCGGGGTCGCTGCTTTCTAAAGACTTAAAAAAGCCTTTCCAGGGGAGGGAATGTGTGTTTATGAGTTACTTAGGCGGAGATTTGGGGGACCAAGCCTGTGTGTTACGTTTGATTCCGTCCTTTCATCCCTTTTCTGTTGAGTTTACTTACTTGCAGTCAGCCAGCAACCATCTGTTTGTTCTTTTCATCTTTACGCAGTGGCCGTTCAACTTAGTTTAAAACCCCGGAGGGTTTTAAGTACTGAAAACAAAGCCAAGTCTGTGGCAGTTCATCGACGTGGCTCACACAGGCTTGGTTTTGAAGTGAAAATTATTAATGGTGAAGTTAGAATGCTAAGTTTACCTCGCAGTTGACTAGCTGACGAGCAGAATGAAAAGATGAGCCTTGTGTTTGGGTTGTAGGTCTGTCGGGAAACGTACCCTGGTTTGGAGGATGGGAGTTGGGTTCCTTGTGGCAGAGTTGGAGTTTGGGAAGAACAGGTTTTATTATAGATTTCAGTACCGACGTTAAGATTGGCAGAGCACGGAGGGAGCTGGAGAGCAGGGAAGCTGTCCTTCCTCTCGAATGTGGGTAGGCGCTTCTCAAAGGAGTTGCCAGAAAGTCCCTGTTAATCAGATCAGGAAAATAGAAAAAAAATAAGCAGAATTCTCGGCGTAGTGAAACACAATTTCTGAATCTTTGATAGGATTTTTGGATACATGTGTTACTTTTTTTTTTTCCCTAAGAAAAATTTTGAGTTCTGTCTGTTTTAAAGCCTCACATATCCTTTACCTGTCTGCAAACATTATCATCTTATGGCCAGTTCGATGGCTCCCACTTGTTGGATACTCTGAACCAAACCTAAGAGTCCTTTCCTTTGTAAACCCATCAGGTGTAGCTGAAAGATAAACACTAGGGCTGGGGCACCGCAGAAATGTAACAGAATACAGCCACAGCCGGGTCCTCACAGGAGCGGATTTCTCACCAATGTCCAGCAGGTTTTCTTTTTTTCTAAGTTGTTACAAAGTATCTCACATAGCTTAGTCTGGCCTCCAGCTCTGTGTGGACTCTGGCTACCTTGACCCTCCGGAGTCTCCTCCATTTCTTAAACTCTGCAATTGCCGGCAGGGACTGTCTAGTAGGACCGGTTCTTTTTTTTTTCTTTTTCAAGAAACAGTTGAGCCGGGCGACAGCTTTCATCCCAGCATTCGGGAGGCAGAGGCAGGTGGATCTCTGTGAGTTCGAGGCCAACCTGGTCTACAAGAGCTAGTTCTAGGACAGGCTTCAAAAGCTACAGAGAAACCCTGTCTCGAAAAAACAAAACAAAAAAGAAAAATTTGGGTTTTTTTTTTCAATTTGGTTCAGGATTATGCAAGCTTGGATTTTAAAATACATATTTATATCATTCAGTTTCCAATTTTTACTTACTTTCCAGCCTCTTTAACGATGGAGAAAAGCCAGCAGGAGGGGAGAATACTAACTTTTGTTTTATGGTTTTACCGAAGAGTGATTTCTAAGAGATTTCCACAGGTTGTGTAAAGAGCCTATTGTCAGATGGCTAGTTTGTTAGTAAACAGAGTGAAGCTGGATCTCTTCCCCTTTCGAGGAACCTGTGCTTCACTTTTGGCTAATCTTTCAGGGAAATGATAGCAGTGTGGTTTGAAAACCTTCCTTTCTTCTGTTCCAGTGTGGAGTTTATTCTACATGTTCTGTCGCTTTACCAAGGCTTTGCTTAGGCGCTTTTAAGCTTGTACTGAGAAATCTGGTGCTTTGCCCTTAGGACTAGAATCACTTGGCTTTTAAAAGACTTTTATATCTCATATGAGGTGTTAGGGTTAGGGAAGGGAGTTTCGCAGCTTTGTGAGGTTGCTTTTTTCTTTCTGCCTATTTAAATCATACTGTCATTTTACAAGTTTTTTTTTTTAAGGGACAGGAATGAAGACTAGGAAGAAAGTCTAAAAAGAAACTGTTCCATTTGGGGATTAATATTCTTTTATAAGGTGAGCTCTATCTGGTCTTAGGTTTCTGTCATCACACCTGAGACTTCTCCCAGGGCCTGCTAAGCCAGCTTGTTTCTGTCCAGGTAGAAGTAGGTGAGAAGGAGCAGCTGCTCACTTACTTGATTACTCTTGTCCATGGCCTTGTTTAATTCCTATTTTACCTTTTTAGCCATTAGTATTGTGTTTCAATTAATCTTATTTATCCGATTATTACATGTATGGCATATGTTTTATTATATTAGCAGCCAAAATGGTAATTTATCTGTATCTTTGAATTCTGGGATATATTCATGTATAATTCTGAGAATGAGCTTTCCTATAGGGTGTTTAGCAAGTCTCCTTGGTTCTTTTGACTGAGGAAATGTGATGAGACAAAAGGTAGGATTTTATATTCACCAGTGAAACAAAAGATGAGGCAGTATTTCCATTTATTCCTATGACCTTCCCTGTCATCCAGTTTTCATGTTGATAGTGTATGGGATAGTGCATGCTTTATGATAGCCTGATATTTCTCTGTACACTTCAGTGGATGGTCTGTCACTGATGATATGCTAAGGGGAACAAGGATCCAGATTATCTACTTTTTGTTTTTAAACTATTAGTTCTTCACCCCCCCTCCAATCTATTTAAAGGTAATAACTAAGTATTGTGTATCTTTCAGTTTAGAAGGAATCTTGTCTGTTTACCTTAATTAATGGAATCAAAACAACTTCTTCCCAAGTCCCCTAGATATACCCCCTTTCCAAATACAAAGGGAAAGAAAAAAAAATTGTCTCATTTATCTGGAAATCAACTATCATGGAAGTCTGGGAAGTCAGAATGTTATTTAGGAAATAGGTGTTTGGGAGCCAGTGTATTAAAAAACCATCCTTTGCTTTTAACTACCAGTGTTGCTCTGTAATTAGAGACAGATTCCTTCCTTGTGGGTGTTCTGCCTATCATATACGGCACCTAATCTTAGATGATGCTTTAGTGCCAGGCATTCATCCAGCAAGGCATAATCAG